GGAAAGAGTACAAAAACACAGCTTTGCGTAAAAGCCTGTGATAACTGTGACCAAGAAGCAGTTGTATCACTTGCCTTCTGACAGTATTTTGCAATAAAACAGCTTGTAGCGCGTGCCATCTTCTGTTAAATCCGCATAAACAAAGAGCGGTAAGTTTAAAAGAAAAAAAGGCATTCTGCAGCTGTGAATTCAATAATTAATATTTCAGTGTTTAGAGTGTGGAGGAGTTTATGGTTCCTTTTAATAACAGTAATGAATGAATTAGAGGAACATCACTATGTGGATGTTTTTATTAATGATGGCCTTTAACAGGAAGGAATTGCTGCTGATAATGCTTTATAATGAGCACAGTTAAGTTTACTAAGAGGTCATATGCTAACCATACTGGTATATGCCTATATTTAAGGGCCTGTTTGTACTCGGCTATTTTCTTGGCTCCAGAATGGGTGTGGGGATGAAGTGCATAGTTATTCTGAATGGCGCCATGCACGGGTGCTCTAATTATGGTCTATGGCTGTCCTGTGTCAGGTTAGGCTAATCCATTTTCAGAAGTAGTGCTCTGAGCTATTCCCCTGTGTGGGCAAGCCTTTAAGGCATTACAAACACTCTGTATTTATTGTATTATGTGAATGTGGATTTGACTAGCCAGTATGTAAAACATTACATAAATTCTTACATGGAAATGGGAATGAAAACTTCAACAATCGAGTATCTGCGCAGAAGGAGCAACACTGGATGTAAAAAAACAGTGGTGAATGAACAGCTGTGTGTGGAACTAGATGCAAAACATTTCGCAAATGAAATTGTTTTCTCCACTGATTTATATTGGTTGGATGACTAGGGGGAAAAAAGCTTAAAGGATGCTGGAATCAAGAAAGAGGTACATACCTTTTCAGGAAAGTGTAGCCACTGGTTTAGTGATAGGTGTAAAAGGTCATCTGTTGTTACTAACTCACTGATGAGTGAAATGTGTGTATGAAAGAGACAGAAGAGGGGAGGCATACCTAAGAACAGGTGCAGAGAAAGATCACATCTACCTGTACTGCGCCTTCCTCCCTCTTTTATTTCTCTTGTTCTTTAGCACATATGAAGTACCACTACTTGTTTTCAGCTGTATAATTTGTGGTACAAGTAAATCAACTTTTAATTTGGCTAGAAGGGGAAAAAACTGAGGGGTTGTACAAAACATACTGAAGCTTCTATCTTTGTTGCCTTGTTTTTAACTATTTTAGAATATGGAGGAACATTGATCTTCTGAATTACTGTATTATTTCTGAAATACCTGCATATAATAATGGTAAGGTATAGGTGACTTAAAACCTCTCTGTAATTTTCTAGTGCTTTGAACAGTGGGAAAACTTTGTGGACTATTACAACTTAAGCGAGTGAAGATGACTTCTACCATAATCCCATTGGCCATATAATATTTTTATCTCCACTACTTTAGCAGTGACAAGTCAGAACTTAGAAATTTAAGTTCTGAATGAATAACATTAAAAATGTAGGGCAGGGTGAACATCTTTGAAAGTAATTCATCTCCAGTTTAAGATTCTTTATCCTTGTTCCTCCCCCACATCTCTTCCAGCTGAAGGAGTGCAATAAACTGAACCTGTGCAGCTGTATTCTTCGAGAAAGGCAGAAGACAGTTTGAGTCATGGCAAGCCAGGTAAGATCATTTGGTCAGAAATTCAGGCTTGCGGTGCCTAAATGGATTCCAGAACCATACTCAGAATTCCTAGTAAATGTAAAGCTGAAATAGCTAGCTTGCTCTGAGTTGGGTGTTTTCAGTCCTACGATTTCTTCTGGTAATTTGGTAATTGGTGGCTGTCCTCTGGACACTTAATCATATCAACTGAAGCAGGTTGGGGGCATAACATTAAGCTTTGCAGTTTGGATTATTTGAGCATGAGTTCTTCTGAAGGACCTTGCGCAAAACACTCTCTATATAAGATATATGTAGAGGTGTTCTAGAGGAAGAACATTAAAGCCTGCGTAAGTAAAAAAAATGCTGCAAAACACCATTATTTTTGGAAGTCCTCGTTCTTCAGAATCTTAAGTGAGGGAGGCAACCTGTGTTAACACAGCTGTTGTTTCCCTCCTCTTTTGTGTAGCTGCCCTGCTTCCTTTTTAAACTGTGGTTTTTGGGTTTTTGGTTTTTTGGTGGTTTTTCGGTGTGTTTTTTCCAAGAGGCACTTTTTATGCCTCTTTCTTCCTGGCCTTGCGTCTGGGTTTGAGTTTTCCCTCAGCCAAGCCTAGTGCCTGTTCCTGGTCTGCTTTCTCCTTACGTTCCATTAATCGGCCTCCTGTTGTTGTTCCTGGCCTGGGAGAGTGACTCACAGCTGGGTAGTGAGGAGAGGCATCTTGCATAAGAGAAGAAGAATCCCTGGGTGAGGGGAGATAGGGACAGCTGAGATCCCTTCTAGGCAAGAGTGACGATTTCCCTGCCTCTTCGTAACTCACTGTGCTGCTGCAGGGTTTTTTCAGTCCTGGAGCTCAAGTGGAACATGGTCCAGTCCTGAAGCTAATTAACATTTAGGATTGGCCAACATCGAAGGGCATCTGCTTTTTCCCTAATTCCAAGAGGAAGCTGTCAATCCTTTAGCCAGCTTGACAAGTCAGGGGAATATGGCTGTTCATACAATCCTTTGGCTCTGTTATTTTTGCCAGGCGTTTTCCCCAGAGGCTGCTTTCCCTCATGGGAGGCGGAGGGAGAAATGGGACCCCAGGCTTCTTTCAAGGGCAAGGTGAATATGGGGAAATCACCTGTGGTGATGGGGAGTGGGAGGGAGGAATGTAAATGAGGCTAAATGCTATAAAGGTGATTTTTTTTTTCTCCCAACAGGACTTAATGGCGAAAAAAAGAGAATGTCTCCAGGCCTACAGCTGGTGGAGAACACCACAGAAGAAACGGAAGAAAAAGAACAAAATAAAACCTGGAAGAATAGAGTTTGTCCCTAGTAGTAGTTCAGCCAGGTAAAGACCTTTTGAAATCAGAAGCTCTGACCCCTTATCTGTTTAAATTGATAGTGACAAGTGAATGCCATCACAACTTTTTAAAATCCTGAAATGGCACATCTGGTGCCTACACACTTCAGTATTGCTTATGGAAAAGTATTGCCAATAGAATAATGAACTTTTTTGTAGTTCGTCTCTCCCATAATCACAGAGAAGTGGTGGCAGAATAGTTGTAGCTCTTCTGAATCATAAGTCTGTAAGTTGAGTTAATAGTTTTTCTTGGTATTTTTGTGCCTCCCCCCCATTCAGACAATAAATATTTATTTTTAAAACTAACTTCTGAAAGTGTTTTTTTGTAAAATGGGTCTTTGTTGTGATGCTTTTCTTTGCAAAAGCAGTAGAATGGACCCAGAAAAATGGAGAACTTTATGCTGGAGTGGTGGCATGCAGTTCTGTGTGTTACTCAGCAGAGTTTTGCACTTAATACTCTCTTCAGATTTTGCCTCCTTATTAGTCCAATGATAACTACCAGCTTATATGTTAGGTACCTTAATACTGCAGTCAGCCACCTTAGTCTCAAACTTGACAGTTACTCTCTTTTATCTTTTTAAAGACCGGATTATTCAATATTTGTTGGGGAGCTTACTCCAGAAGTGGATGATTTCCAGCTCTATGACTATTTCCTAAAGAGGTACCCCTCATGCATTGACTGCAAAATAGCAACAGACCTGCTGGGATATTCCAGGTAATGCCTATGAAAATGTGTAACGTGGTCAATAGGTTTGCTTCTATAAGTAATATATAAGAACTTACATTGGAACTGTTTCTGCATCTTCTTCAGAGGCAGGAAGAGAGATTAGTCTCTGGCATTCTTTTTTTAGCAGCATAGGTCCTTGCATTTCTAAAACTTTCTGGTTAGTTTAAGCAGTTAATGTGATAAGGTTCAATTTAGACATATGTATATCTGCATGAAAGAAACTAGATGGTGGGAGAAGGGAGAGTTGTGCACTGATATCTGTGCTGCTGTGCTTACATACAGCAGCGTGTCTGCTTAGTCATCTGCAGTACTGAAGACGAAATAATTCCCTTTTTACATGTGGGAGAAAAGCATAAGGCCTGGCAAATCTTAGTGGGTTGGGAGACCGAACCTATTAATATTAGTAAATAAAGCCTAGGAGAAGTTACACTGGCCAGGCAGTGAATCAAGCAGGGATGAGCGAGTTTGCTGTTCAGACAGTGCTGGCTGTAAGAGACTAATTCAAGAAACTTAAGAGAAAGCAAGTATAAAAAGAATGTTAGTTCTGTACAGTGGTAGGAGTGAGTTAATGCTAACTGATTAAATTAACTGCTGTAAATGCAGAAATATGGAATCTGATTACTTGTACACATAGCAATTAAAATGTATTGTTTTGCTGGCTGTCAGCATGTTGCATCTTAATGCTATCAAAGAACAAGCTTTTTGCTTCTGGCCCAAGTTTTTTAATTTGGTGAAAGCATCTTCTGTGCATGTGCACATGCCAGAGAGGTTGCTTAGGTAATGGAAGCTATAGTAGCTACTATCTTCTGTTTTTGTAGAAGACAAATTGAATTCATTAGCTTTGTAACTGTTATGCATACTAGAATTTGTTTTCTCCCTTTTGAAAATTGTAGAGGGTATGCCTTTGTCAGATTTGGTGAGCAAGGTGATCAGATGAGGGCACTGCAAGACTGCCAGAATGCACCAGGTCTGGGGGGAAAACGAATCCGGCTGAGCATAGGAATTTCTAAAAGGTAACAAATGAGTTGTGCATTGATACAGTAATTCTGAATAATCAGATTCTTGTAGCTCTGCCTTTGTAAAGTCTGTGGCCCTTGCTATAATGGCTGTACACATGATGCAGTCTACAAAACCAAAAATACAGAAGCATTATGTTTTGACTCCCTGGATTCATCACCTCTTGCAGGATTGCTGGGGGAATACAACTCTTAAACCTAGCCAGATTGTGTAACTTGGGTTTAGCTACTGTTGCAACCAGCCTTAATTCTTATGGTAGCAAAGCTCAATGCATTCATAAATATTCTCCAGGTTTGGGCCTGAAGAATGTAGAAGGGACAAGTGGTTTTGTGTGCTAGGGAGTTTTTCTTCTAGACCTTTCCCTCTAGTTCAGGCAAGGTAGCACGTCACTAGTTTTACAGTAGGCTGGCAGAGGAAGGAACTCTTTAAGTGGAAAAATGCAGACTATAGGAGGGAAGAAGCCAAAGGTGATGTTGCTTTGGAACAGTTTGTTTAGAGTACTATTCTTTGCTTTTCAAGTGATTGGGGCAGCAGGGAATTTAAAGTTAATTAGTTCTGAGAGGGTTTTTTTACTCTGCCAGCTCAGTCCTCCCAGACAGTTATTTAAGGCAATTCAAGTCTCTGAACAGTTAGAGAATTGATACTAAATTTGATAAACTTTGATCCAGGATACAGACAAAAATTACATAAAACAATTTCAGTATATTCATGAGGTTAGCTTGTATGTTCTGTTAAATAGTAAAAATAACAGCTTTTGTTTCTCTTTACCCTGGATAATATTCAGATGTTGCCTCTTTGCTTTAGAATGGAAATGCTCTTACCCGAGAGAGCACTGTCCAGAATTGCTCTGATTAAATTATTTTGAAAACAAGAAGAGATCAAAGAAACCGGTTTCCTCACTTCTGCTATCCAGAAGAATGTCAGCAGTATCTTCAGATTTTTCTTTCCTACAGAGATGTATGTAGGAGAGAAGTTGGAAGCAGAAGACTTTGAGACATCATGTAGTCATTTGTTTACTACAGTAGCAAGACAAGAGAATACCTATTTTAGTATGTATGTGTAGCTTTACAGTAATGGAACAATTGGAATGTAGGGATTAAAATGCACATCACTAATCTATGTCTGTTTCTGAATGGCTGAGTGCTGTGCTCTCCTAGCATCAAAACATCCAGCCATGAGAGTAGTTTGTCACTAAGTCACTTACATTGGAAACTATTTCTGAGCTGCTTCAGTTGGCGTTCTTGACAAGCCTAGATCTGACTTTTCTGTAATGAAGTGGAGATGCAGAGAAATTGGACTCTGCAAACACAGGAGGTCTGCCTGTACCTAATCAGTGAAGAAATGTCTAAGCATAGAGGATTCTTGGAATGTGCAGCTGGGTTATCTGAATGTATTTCATGTAGCGTACCTCTGTTTTAGTACAGACAATGCTTGCGCATTGATTCTTGTCAGTAGTGTGAAGTAGTCCCTGAGAATTTACTCAGGTGAGGGAAAGTAGTGAAAACTAATCAGCTAGCTGTTTGGTCTTAAGAACCGATGAGTCTTGTCATTTTCCTGCTGCTTTGGCTTCATACTGGATAATGGCAGTGCTGGCTTCACTTGACAGCTATTCCTTGGCAACTGTTCATGGACTAAAAATTGAGCAGGTGGAGGTAGACATGGCAAACTGGCAGGCAGTGTCAGATGCTCCTCTGAAACAGATAATCTGACTTCACCCCCTTGTTTCTGGAAAGAATAAGATTAGTATTAACCAAACAAAAGAAAGAAGGGCTAATTAAGACTGAATGCATCTTTAAAGCAGCTGTGCTTGATAAATGTCTCTGGTCTTAATAAATTAGTTTTTAGCAGAGCACAAAGATTTATCAGCAGCTTGCTTATACAGATACTGAAAATAAACAAAATGAATACAGACAAGTGTCATGGCTTGAGTTAATCCATGAAAATCATTACTCTTGCTGTTGGCGAAGGTGAGAGCATTTGCTTCTGTATAAACGAGATCATGCTGTGACTTAGTGTTGCTTAGGCAACTATTCAGACAAGTTTCCTTTTAAACTTCGAAACCTATAAGCTGGCAAATTGTTTAACTTCAGAACTCGGTTTACACTTTATTGTTCTCTAACTGTATGTAACTTCTCATGTTTCAGACTGAAAGCAGAATTCCAGCGGTACCAGTCATACAACTATAATGATTATTACCAAGATTATCAGAACTACTACTCACAGTGGGGTTATGATCCTTATGCTGATTACAACTACAGCTCCTATGCTCCCTATGATAGCATGCAAGCTGTTGGAGACTGCTCTTTAGGAGATGCTGTTATGGCTCCAGCTGTTTTTGAGGTAAAGATACTACACACTTGCTTTGAAGAAAAAAATTCACAAATAGTAAGCTGTACAAATTGTGTAAGTTGGAGCAAAAAGAAATCCTAAAACTGAAACCATGCTTTCTGCTTAGTGTGGAGGTTAGAATAGCAGGCTTCACTCAAAGGTATTCTTGATTTAAGTGCTTAAGTAGTGCATCTATAGAATTAGAGAGTTATACACCTTTATTTGTTGAGATATGCCAAACAACAGTCCTGACAGCATAATTGTGTAGGCTTCCTCTCTTCCTGTTTTTCTGATGTACTTTGCTTAAAGCAAATTAAAGAATTATTGTAAGACGGTCTTATCCTGGATCAGCCAATTTATTGATTACAGCTTCCAGAAGTCCTTTCCAACCTGAACAATACTATGGTTTTGTTAAAACAAAACAACAGAAAAACCCCCAAAGAAGCACCCCCAAACAACCACACTCCGTCAAACAAACCCCAAAAGAAAAAAACCCACACCCAGCCCTCCCCAACAAACACAAATCCCCTTGCCAGTTCTTGCAGTTGTGGGAGGAGGGAATGGTTTGGGAGTACAAAATTACTTTGGATTTGTGATGCTTTCTGAAATGGGTTATGATTAAACTTAGGAGACTTTCTTTTTTGTTTTTTTAGGAAACTTCAGCTATGACTGAAATCAATGATGACCTAATAACTGAAGGTAATGATGATTCTATCACTGCAACTTGAATTTAGCCATACTTATGCCCTTTAACAACACAAGCCAATGACTGTTGGTTGAAGAATGTCTTGGAAGCTCAGCTGATGTAGTGGGATCCTCTATGGGTTATAGCTGAGATGAGGTAGGATTTTAAAGCTGATAGTGTACACCATGGCAAGTAGAATGGGACATTGTCAACAGCACTTCACAGTAGGTTTCTTGTAACTTTGCCTTCATTCTCCTTCCAAAATGGTCTAATACAGAATTTGTTGTGTCTTTGTAGTGATTCTGCTAAGCATATTCTGTGTTAAACTCATTAATAAGCTAAAGCTTTGTTTTCCAAACCCTGAGGTAAAAGCTTACGTTGTGGGTACTAAAAGGAGGATTCAACTTGCACTTAAAGATTTGGTACGAAATGTAATTGTTCAGCCTGGAAAGTTTGCAGACAGTTCCTTGCATAGAGGCATCTTGTGTTAGCGTTAAACTTTATCCTGTGTAACACATTGTAGTAGAAATGAGTTAAATGGATTTTGGGAGAGTTTCATGGTTAATTATCCTTAAATCTGCTCTTTGTCTTAAAATACCAATATAGTCCTAGCTTTCTCATATGCAAATTCCAAAAGAAGGTGGACTTGTCAGGTTTGTTAAAATTCTAGGTGAATAAACAACTTAACTTACTACATTTACTAATAAATCTATTAAATTTAGCTAAAATAAATTTTATTAGGCATTTACTGCAGGTTTTTGTGTGCATGCCTCCCAAGATCTGACACTTGTACTTACCAGGCTTTTATTTTCAGATCCACAGCTTTACTTGGATGTTGATGAAATGAACAGACAATTTATGGAGACAAGTGAAGAACTCTATGATTCCCTCATGAATTGTCACTGGCAACCTCTGGATACGGTCACTTCTGACATCCCCCCTGCTATTTAAGTGTCTTATATAGCATGACCGTTATGACCAAGGTGCTAAAATTACATTTCTTCTACATTACTCTAGATCATAAGTTTTAAAGCACAATGATAGGTTGGGTTTTTTTGCTATGCTTTTGACAGTTTCTGTAATCTTTTTTTTTGTTCATCACTCTACTCTTGGAGCATCTTGAAATCATGTAAATATTCTAGAAATGTAAAGAGTTCAATGGGGTCTAAAGATAGACTTGCCTGTGTAAATAAAATTTTGTTTCTGCAAACCTGCCAGCAAGGGATTTTACTTACATATGTGAAGCACATTCTCTTCTGGCTTGTGGAATTTAGCTGGAGGCAGTAGGGGTATTTCACCCGTCTTTGTTGTGGGCATCAGGACACTAGCAAAAACTAGCTCATGTATTTCCAAGTTACCTAGGCAATCTTTTACAAGCTCTTAACACGCTTGCTTAGATTATATGTGTATTGGGAGAAACTCCCAGGGTTTGCTATGGGAACACTTGAGCCCACTCTTTCTCCTGCAATCTGCTGGCACTAACTGTACTACTGGTGATCTGCTAGGTCAGTTAGAATTGCTTTATCAATACAGTATTTTAAACATTCAGGAGGGCAAACTTTCAGCTGCCAGAGCTGCAAACATTCCAAAGACTTAAGGATGATCCCCACTGACAATTTTATTCCTGCCCTTCTTATTGTTAGTCTTCTCAACTGACACTTTACAGCAAAGAAACTGGTGTAACATAATACATGTTTTTAAACCTAAAAATCCTTGGGGAAAATAACTTTCTGGTTTAAAGGAGGAAAAATAACCCATTGGCAATAAAAAAACCCTATCCTAGTAATTATTCAACTAAGTTGCACCCTATTCTCAACATCTCTGTAATTTGTTCAGTCTTCATGCTCAGGTGTTTTATAGTGATGAGGTTATAAAATTTTAATAGGATGACAGTTCTCAGTATTCAGGTCAGAGGAGGTTAGGGGAGATAGCAATGAGGAAAGTTCTGCTTTAAGCTAGCAACTTCTGAGTGGCTTCCTCTAAACTGATCTCATCTTGAAGCATATAAAGTATTTTCCAGTCACAGGGACTACTTAAGCCCATGTGTATGCAAAAGTATTTACTACTAAATGATAAAATGAGTTAGGCTGGGAAGAGAAGAATGCTTTTCCAAGAAGAAAGTGGAAATTATCATAGCTAATAGCTGTGGAAACTACTAAAGCTAGTCAAGACGCTTTGGTACTGCCATGTGTGTTTTGGGGGCAATGTAAACCATAATTGCTACAATGGCAGATAGGAATAAAGTTCTCTGTTTTTTTTTTTTTTTTTTTTACGACTTAATGTAATTAAAGTGGTGGTCATAACCTGTATGCTGTTCCTAAATTTAAAGCAAATGCTGTATTGCAGAGTGATGACTCAGCACTGGCAGGTAGTTTCTAGCTGCTGACCAGAATCTCCCTCTTCTCAAAGTTTAATTTCAGCTAAGAATATTTTCAAAGTCCCTCCCATGAAATGCAGATGCTCTAAAACAGAAAAGCCTTTTCTGTTTTACTGTAGGAAGCTCATTATTCTTTGATTTTGTACATATGTATGTGTAGGAAGAGACAGAAAGCAAAATACCACATCTAGGCAGGGGGAGTAGCATCAGTTTTAGCCACTGTTTTCCTGCTTTGGGGAGAGCTAGTTACAAGGTAGCTGGGAACATGGATTTCTTGGGTGAACATTTCCCTTGTGTGAACTGGTGAGTCTTTGGAGGGTGATGGTAGGGAGATTATTAATGCAAATGTGACAGGAAGTGGAATAAATGAAAAAGAATCTGGGTAGGAAAGGGGATGCTTTTGTGCCCGTATAGAATTGTTTCAGGGGACTGCAGTAGGGAGGAAACTCAAGATAGTAGATGCAGGTCCCTTGAATTTGGATAGCAGTGTTAAAGCTTCAACACCATGCAGGATTTGATGCTGCTTTAGTTGTAGTGCATAGCTGTGTTGCTTGAGCTTGGTAGTACAAACTGGTCTGCTAAGCAGAGATTTTGTATCTAGCCAGTACCATCACCGTGAACAGCAAGACAGCTTCCAGGTCTGTGCCTGGGTTAATCCTGCTTTGAAGTGGCTTGCACAGCATCACCAACACTGTACTTAAGTGGCAGCAAGTAATTTGTGGAAACCTTTTATTGTGTTACTAGTTAAAAATGTGATGCTGAGGATGTGTGTTGGCTCAGCAGAAATACTGTGGAGTATCTATGCTGATTTTTGGCATTTGGAGGTTGAGCTATGTGTGAACTGTGTAGTGAGGGGCCTATGTAGCTATATGATTTCACTTAGTCTGACACTGTATCACCACAGCCCATAAACCTCAAAGAAGTCGCAGTCTGTAGCCACTCCATGTATGCAGACTTTGTTGTTAACAAGGTCTTGACACTCTGCGTTAGAGACTGTTTTCAGACATGCATGCACCTTCTGTTCTGGGCTGTGAAGTACCCGTAGAGTGACAGTACTGTTCATGTAATGCAGTGGAAGAGGTTGCTTGGGCCATTAGTTCTCCAAGCCTGAGAAATGTTGGGGGTGTATTTTCTTCCAGTCAATGTGCAAGAAAAATGAGGTGAGGAAGAGAGCGTGTTGGTTGCAGCCCATGTGACACTTCTAAAATAGCTCTCTGACCTCTTTTTCTGTCTCCTGAGCCTTACTAGTCTATTTCTCTTTCCAGTTAGGAGTACATACATGGGATCAAGGTGGTGTGCATGGTGCACGTTCTTTACTGTAAACACATACTGAATGCAAAAATTTTTCCTGTATTGGTGTGTTACCCATGAACCCCAAATACAGGAGAAAGTGAGTGCATCAGAACCATTAGAATGCATTGCTGAGGCTTTTTACTGAGTAAACTTAGAGCTGTTCTACCACAACCAGCCTGCATTAGCTTGCTTACACAAAGACCTGAACATAGAGGTGCCTGCCATCAGTTCTACAAAGATCTGATTGCAGTGGGAGCATTAAAAAAAAAAAAAAAAGTCTTAGAAGCAACTTATCAACACCATCATATTTCACTTGTTCCAGTTGTATTTTGTCTCTGTTCTACCCAGCTGAAATGTAGTTTTTTTCTTAAGCTTGATGGAGGTTTTTTGCAAGAATATCTAGTATTGGTTTTATCAACTCTTCATTGCACCTAGCTGCAATAGATAGTGCCTTTACGCAAAACCCGCTAATTTCTTCAAGAAGAGTAGCGTTTTTGTTTTCTGTCGCTTCTCTGAACAGAAAGTACGATGGTTTGAGGGGCTACTAATCCTGCAGTCAGTGAACAGGGAGAAACAAACAGGCCAAAAAGGGTAAAGAGTACTTAAAAGGGTACAAAAAGATTAAATGGTACTTAAGCCATGAATGTTTCTTTTTGCAGGGATGCTCTTGGACCAACAGCTTCTTTCTAGCGCTACCTCAAAGTAACTTGCAGATATAACTCACAGGGAAGATTGATCAAATGGTGATGATCCCTATCATTCTGCTGGAGAGATATATATATATTTGCCTTTTGTTTTGTCTCATTATTAATAACATTTATTTAACTTCAGTGACTCATGTCAGTAGACATTGTTTGACAACATTGACAAGTATTTCTGAGTCATGAGTGTCATTAAAGGCATGTCACCATATGGAAATTGTTCTAAATAAGTAAAATGGAAGTAAAATAAGTAAATAAAGCAGCACTTGAATTTACAGAGCAAACATAGTGTAGCTGCCTTTGACACATATGTGGAAGAGAAAATCGCTTTTACAGGTTACTTTAATATACCTAGCATGCATCAGAAAGAGGGAATCTTGTTTTGAATTTGCCTAGCTCTTATGTGTCCAGTGCAGGAGTGATTTTAGTCAGTTCCCCACACAGGTACCATTTTAGAAGTCGGCATTATTGCTGATGAATGTCTTACCAAAGGGGCACAGTTTATATCTCTTCGCAAATCTTGCTCGTCCCATAATGGAAATCCATCATGATACCCTTCCTTCCCCTCCCGAGTTGGAATTTAGCATGATAATTGTTTCCTGGACAGAGAGAGTTACAAATCCAGGCTGAGATAGTATTATTTTCTTGTATTTTGATGACTATATTGATGTAATATTTTTTGACAAGCATATTGTAGAAATAGAGCCTCATCCTAAAATTGGTCTGCACATGTAACATCAGCAGTTTACACGAGATGAGGTGGTTCTTGCAGGTGACTTCTAAACCTGTGGGTTCCACGTCCTGGAAGGGATTATGTGTCACTGCAAGTCATCCCACTGCACATAAAATTGTATTTACGGTGGTAGGGTAGAGAAGGAAGAGGCTGTGGAGTCCTGAAGGTGCAGTTCACGATGAGAAAGATCTACAAAACAATTCCATTCTGCTGGGATTTCAGAAACAGTTACCTCCTGTAGATAACCACGAAAGCGGGACTAAGAAACTGAGAAGGAGCAAGTCATGTAGGAGAGAGCTGGGAAGATACCAATGAGATTAAAAAAAAAGCCACTATGAAACAAAAAGCAAAGACTTGGCAGTGCAAAATTCCCCAGTAAAATTCTTTCTGAAAGCAGTTCCTTCTCTGCTCTTGCTGCTCCTTTGTGTTTCTTTAGGCCTTCAGCATTGCCCGTGCTGGTGTGAGTTCCCCTGAGCCCCCCCAGTTTGATACACCCTTTCTTCAGGCGTGTGCCGTGACACGCTTTTACTTTTGGTGGAAGGGGCGTGCACTACATCACAGCTCTGCCTTGCACTGTGAAGTACCTGTGCTTCATTCTACATCAGTAATTTTTTAGTATGTTCTGGGTTTTTTAGGGTGAACATTTTTATTGAATTCTGTG